TGGTCTGTGTTAGTATGTTTTGCATTGCTGTAAAGGAATACCTGAGATGGATAATTTATAAAGAAAAGAGGGTTGTTGGCTCATAGTTCTACATGGTGCCAGCATCTATTGGCTTTTGGTGAGGCTTCAGGTGAGACTTCAGGAAGCTTTTACCCGTGGCAGAAAGCAAGCGTGTAACATGGTGAGAGAGGAAACACGAAAGAGAGAAGGTGGTGCCAGGCTTTCTTAAATAACCAGCTTTCTCTCATGAACAGAGAGAAAGTTATTACCACCAGAAAGGCACCAAGCCATTCATGAGAGATCAACCCCCATGACCCAGTCACCTCCCACTAGGCCCCACCTCCAACATTGCAGATCACATTTCAACATGAGATTGGGGGGGGCAATCTAAAGTATATCGCAGTCCTCAGCAAGCCAGTTCCCTCTAGACTTTGGCTGGCTGTCACCAGAAAGGAGGTAACCTATTGAGTGTTTAGACAAATCTTATATCTGCTTCCACCATCTAGCCCACAGTGCATTAGGCCTGCAGAATAGTTGGGCCACCCTTCACCTAATTGTTTTCTTGTGTCCCAAGGCTGGTTCTCTTGCAGAGAAGCAGGTAGTGGCTCTTTTACAATCTGGCCTAAAGAAAAGAAGAAAACATGGTGCAATCTGACAGAGCTGAGGGATCCTGAGTGCTTAGGGTGACCCCCTATGGAGCATGTGGGATTTATTTGGGATATTTGCAATACAGTGATGACCAACTTGGGGAAAACCTGTGTGCTGTGACGCTAGCTATGCACATGGTGGGAACAGTGTGGGAGACTTGCCTGATTGACTGTCACGTGTTGAACGTTTCTTCCACCCAGGGCACACATGGAAGTGCATCTGCATCAGAAACAAGTGCAGCATGAGTCACAAGGACGGCTTGTGACATAGCCAGGAATGACCATATGATGTGCACATTTATACAGCACTGCAGAGAGGGCCAGACCAGCCTGACCATGTTACAGCATTTCACTGCTCACCAAAGAGATTTGAAATGGACTTTTCATTATGATTGCCGATTTGCTATGGCTATATTCCTTAACATGAGCATCTGATTAGGTTAATTTTCCTTAATTGAAGACTAGGGCATTTCAACTTGCAGGACTAAATTTGTTGTTATGTATTGGCAATTTTCTACTCTGACTTTTTGCTGGAGTATACATTCCAGGCACTCCTTATCTGTTTTAGTTTTGAGGTCACTGTTCTTCCTTCCTTCACCTTTGTGTGGCTTTTTAGATTTATTAATGGAGATAGAATGGCACTAAGTGACTATTAAACTCTTTTCCATATACAGTGAAACCCATTAACATGGACCTTTCTAAATTTGGAATTTATGAAAATGAGGCCAGGGCCTGGGTTAAAGTTTACTTTTGTATTGTCTGAACCAAAGCTTTGCTGAGCTAATAAATAGTGTAAGTAAAATTGTAGAGGGATAGCACTGTTACTTTAAAAGCAGACTTTTCAAGCACTTTCGAGAAAGGCCTTGTAAGAGACATAATGAAGTAGTATGGCAAGATGGCCTCATACAAAGACTAGGCTGCTCTCTAGTTGAGACTTGAGCTTCTCTGAGTGTTTTCCCTCATCCATAAAATGAAGATAGTTATCCACTTTATGAGGTTGTTGTGAGGTTAGGCTTAATGTATAGAAAGGCCTGGTGTGAAGTCGTTACTTCATAAATGGCAGGTAGTTATGACCTGCCTAAAATAAGCAGTGAACTCATTTCAATTACTTCTTATTTTTTCACTAGATCAAGTTCCTTGGCATTTTAGAGTCATATCTGAAATATTGGTTTTATTATTATTATCATCATTGATTGAAGGAAAAACCCAGCAATTTGGTGTGGTTGTAAAAGCATGAGCTTTGGAGTTAGACAACTGAAGCTTTGGAAGTCATTCTACCACTTGTTAGCTATATGGCCTGGGCAAGTTAACATCTCTCAGGTTTTGTTTCCTAATTTGTAAAAATGGGATGATAATGCCTGCTTCAGGTCTGTTTTGAGGACTACATATGCTCATCATGCATTTAAAGTATTCAGCTCAGCCAGGCTCAGTGACTCAGCCTGTAATCCCAGCACTTTGAGAGGCTGAAGCAAGTAGATTGCCTGAGTCCGTGGGTTCAAGACCCACCCGGGCAACTTGGCGAGACCTCATCTCTACAATAAATCAAAAATTAACCGGGCGTGATAGTGCACACCTATAGTTCCAGCTACTTGGAAGACAGAGGTGGAAGGATTGCCGGAGCCCAGCAAGGCAAGGTTGCGGTGGCCGGGAGCATGCCACTGCACTCCAGTCTGGGCGACAGAGTGAGACTCCAACTCAAAAAAAAAGTGTTCAGCCCAGCGACTTTCACGCAGTAAACTCCCCCAAATCAGCTATTGCTGTTCTCATGATCTTTTTTGACAATTTTCCCTATGTTGGTCTTCCCATTCATTTAGACTTGCCTTTTCAGTTTACCCAAATGAAGGAATTTTACTCTAGATACAATCTGCATTCCAGATGAGAATTTTAAGTATGGAAGTAAAAAATTACAGAGAAGAAAAAATGGCTATATAAATAGGTGAAGTGAAAGCAGAAAGAATCACATTTTAAAAGTGGAGGCATAAAGGCCTCAAGCGAGGCTTAAATGACCGCATAATGAATTTTGTGCGTAATCTTGGTGTCCTTCATCAAAGATCTTGATATTAGCTAGAAAGAAACAGAACATTGTGTAGAAGTAGTAAAAAGCATGGACTGGTGGCCTGCTTATTCCATTAATTGGGAGAGAAAAGCAGTAAGCCCACGGCTAACCTTATTTTCGTCTTCTTGTTTCCTCGTGTTTCATGAGAGCACGGGGGAGGGATATGAGCACTGTAATGTCCTGCATAGACTATAATCTATCCTCCCCTTAATGACAGGCTTACACAGTTTGTAGAATCCATCACCCCGACGGATGAGACTGAATTACTTCAATGACTGGCAAATTGGCACCACTTGTGGTGAAATGAAAGCCGTCAGGTGTGTGTGTGTTTATTAAGTACTCCTCGATAGGAGAAATGTGTTTTCTGGAAAACTCCCACCCATGCTATTTTTGTAGAAGTCAGAAGTGCCCATCTTCCTTTATGAAAATAGGAACATTATTTTTCTCAAGATTCTGCACTGTTACAGTATGAATTCACATCCATTTGCAATAAAATTCATCATGAATGTGTTATAAAAGTCAGGTTTTCCGTTATCAGATGCATGAATGGCATAAGCTTGTAATATTAGGACCAGTACTGCTGGGGCTGGGGGCCTTTGACTTTCTCTAGCTGCCCATTTTAAGTGGATCATTTTTTAAGAGTTGTCAGTTCATTAAGTGAATGTATGAGTTTTCATAAGAATAAATTCACAAGTCAGAAAAAACTTTTGTTAGACCAGTTTTTCTAAGACTTGGGTCAGAAATTGTGATTCCTCAATGCATACCATATTGATTGTTTGTACTGTATCAGATATTTATTGGAAATACTGACTGGTTAGCTGTTAAGGTATGGCGATATTTATCTAGATCTGGTATATCAGCAATACTAGCTAGTATTTAGTGTTTACTACATGGAAGCACTGTGCTAGAAGCTGGGGATATGAATACAATAAAAAAAGACAGGGGCTCAAGTTGCTAACAACAGCTCTATGAAGTAGATAAACACATAAAGCAAGTTTGTAGAGTTTAAACAATTTGTCCAAGTTAGATCAACAATAGAGTGGCAGAGGGAGTGTTTGTTACAGCAACTGACCTTACATTCTGGCTGAGATATCCCCAAATATAGTGGCTTAAGCAAGATGGAGGGAGCCCATTGTCACAATGGAACTGCTGTGTCAGTTCTGGATTGCTTATGTTTGGATTGTTGGGTGATAGAGAAGTAAGCTTCTGTCTGATTCCTCTGCTATCCATGGAAATTGGCCTCATGATTATATCTGCAGGTGCCTAAGCACATCCCACTAGCCATACCCAGCTGCCAGGAGGGCCTGAAAGTGTAGATTTTGTGGTCATTTACCCCTTAGAATTCAGGGGTTCTGTTAACAAAAGGAAGAAGGGGAGAATGGGTATTAGGGAACAACTGGCAGTCTCTGTGTTACATGCGAACAAAAACTTTTATGTTTAAAGACAGGATCTCTGTCACTCAGGCTGGAGTGCAATGGGTCATGGTTCACTGCAGCCTTCTGGTCTCAAGCGATCCTCCCATCTTAGCTACCTGAGCAGCTGGGACTATAGGCCACTACACTTGGATAATTTTTAATTTGGGGGCGGTTAGAGATGACGGTCTCACTATATTGCCCAGGCTTGTTTCCTGGACTCATATGATCCTCTTGCCTTGACTTCCCAAAGTGCTGGGACTACAGGTGTGAGCCACTGTACCTGGCTTAATAATATTGCTTCATAGTAGACTTTTGACCACAGACTTATCTAAGTGGCAAAAGATCTTATGACTTTGAGATATGTCCAAATTCATTATCTATTTCTTTTCAAGTAGTAGCATATCAAGGCATATCAAGGCTATGTATGTATGAGGGGGGATCCCCACAAAAACTGGAATTATCTTTTGGAGGGCGGGTTTCCCCTGCTAGGTTTTTAGGAACCCATCAGCATCAGTGTACCAGCTAGTGTTGTTGTGAGAGACTGTGTTCAGCTTCAGTGAAATTTTTTAGAGATTCTTTCAACACGTCTATCCATTTCATGATGAGTGATTTATGAGCACACATTCCCACATTGTGCTGAGTGTTTAGCAGTTTTTGACCAAAAAGAGCATGACTACTGTGTCCCACTGTTCCTATCAACTGATCTCAACATGAGCAACATTTTTTTTTGTCTCCCCAGATGAAAAAAGTCCTCAAAGGGAAATATTTTGCTGATGTAGAAGAGGTGAAACAAAAACCAGTAGAAGCACTAAAAGGCATCAAAATGGACGAGTTCAAAAACTGTTTTGAGCAGTGGAAAAAGCATCTTGATAGGTGTATTGCCTCAAATGGAGAATTCTTTGATGGTGACTGAAGTGTAAACATGTAAGAATACACAATTTTTTATAAGTAAATATTATTCTTTTGGGTCCCCCCTTGTATGTATGTAGTGTGTGTATGTTATATTTAAATATTCAAACTATGCAAAGAATCATGACTATTAAGTGGCTCTACAGTAGACTCTGGTCATCTGCAGATGCTAATGCAAAGTTTTATAGTAGAAGTCCTCTGGCTCTCAGCATTGGCAGAAAGGCTCACAAAACCCCCAGGTTTTGTCATGCGTGCATCCTCGCTTTCAAAAAAATCTCCGACTCAGATATCTAGGTTGTAAGAAGTGTGTGTTTAGAGAAATGCCTTTATAGAACTAAAATTACTCTAAGGTTTTGAGTATGGCTTGTACTCAATATACAGATCATAAATAATTCTGACTCAGAACTTCAGAGTTTCTCAGAATTCTTGATCTGATAGTTTAGACATTTACTATTTACTACAGAAAAATCAATAAGCATGTATTGAGAACATATTTAGATACCCGTTGCATTGAGATGGACCCACAGATCCTTGCCCAGATGTCATGGGGCAGCAGGGACTTGGAGGAGATGAGCACAGGATGGACCTCAAGTCCACACTCACAGATTCTTTCGCTAGTTGGACCTTGGCTCTCCTCCTCTAAACCTAATGCTGTCTCTGATGAGCTCAGCTCAGAGGCAGTTTCAGACCACTGACCATGTGGAAGCAGAAAGAAGCCAGCCAAAGAGAGCAAGAACCCTCAGAGATGAACCCCAAGGAGACTAGAGCTTGTAGGAGGTCAAGCTTCCATTTTTTCTCTCACTGCACTGAAAGCTTCACCTTAAAAGAGCTTTAATTGAATCTGGTGACTTAATTTATTCACTTTGTGTCTTTTCCTCTTTGGGGCTGGGATTGGGGCTGGGCCTGGGGCTGGGCCTGGGGCTGGGGTAAGGGTGGGACGAAGACAGGGTGGAACTTTGCTGTCCCTCTCCTTCTAGTAGTCAGCAACTTTAGAGTCACCATAACAAGTGCAAGACATGGTCTTTATCCTGACAGCCTGACTGGGGAGCTAATGCATGTGGAACCTTTAGCAACAGTCAAGTACTAAACTGTGTAATATTGATTATTCCAGAGGAATTCAGATAAGGGATCAATCAGTGTGGATTTGTTTCTAAGGGAAGGCTTTTTAGATTGGGTCACAAGTGCAATGCCAAAGGATGAAAGGAGCTGATTAAGAAGAAGGCAAGAAAGAGGATGTGAATGAAGATCAAAATGAGCTTAGAGGTCAGTAGACCTGTGTTCTTGAAGCAGAGACTTCGTGCTGGAGACGAGGAGATAAAGTGGAATAAGAAGGAGGAAGATTTCAAAAGCCAGTCAGGGCTTAGGCCATTGAAAGTCATGCAAGATTTTTTTTTTTTTTTAAAAGAAGTTAATATTAGCTACTTCAGTTTTTTTTAAGAAATGGAATTAAGTATTAAATTAATAGGTGACTGACTGGCCGGGTGCATGCCTATATATCTAGCACTTTGGGGGTCCAAGGTGGGAGAATCACTTGAGCCCAGAAGTTCAAGACCAGCCTGGGCAACACAGTGAGACCTTGTCTCTACAAAAAATACAAAAATTAACCAGTTGTGATGGTGCATACCTGTAGTCTCAGCTACTCGGGAGACTGAGATGGGAGAATTGCCTGAGCCCAGGAGTTTGTGGCTGTGTTGAGCCGGGATTATAGCACTGCACTCCAGCCTGGGTGACAGACTGAGACCCTGTCTCAAAAAAAAAAAAAGACTGAGTAAATGAATGAATTATATATATACCACTATCTATCTATCTCTCTATCCATCTATCATCAATCAATCATGAAAACATCATGTTGTAATTTGTCTAGGCTAGGCAGAGAGGGTTCCTAAAAAGAGTATCGGCAACATAGGTTTCTGGAAGACAGGAGGAAGCCAATATTAGATGTTTTAGGGACTGGGAACCTGGCTTGGCTAGGGTTAGCCAGCAGTCCAGCCCTTAGGGTCCAAGAGGATATGTTAATCTTGGTCTTGGTTCAGGGAAGTTGTTGGTATCTGAAAGATGCAGTTCAGCAGGAGGTTTGAGCCATTAGAATTGTAGAGAAAGGTGAGATTCAGAGTCAGGAGTGGTGGTCATGGCGGTAGGCAGTCTTGTCACAGCTGAATCCCAGCCTGCAGCTGAGGTCCTGGAGTGGAATCCGAGGAAGTGTTTTATCAGAGTCTTCGTCACGACTCTTCAGGTTCAGGGCAAGGCACAAGGCAGTGTAGAAAACAGGAAGGCCTGTCAGGGCAGATGCCAGTTGTGAGGATTGGGTCTACATGTCTGGAATTAGCAGGGAAATAGGGAGAATGAGGAAGCAGTGGAGAGTAAACTCAGTGCAGTTCAGTTCATTGTGGTCACATAACAAATTCTAGTCTGTCTGGCAGCTGAGATTGCTTCTCTCTGGCCTGCCCTGAGGAGGAGGGGTCGAAGGTCACAGCAGTGATGACCCTTTTAGGTGGAGACTTCAGGGGCCCTAACTCAGAGGGACCTGGGAGTGAATGGCTGAGGTGGAGGCCCAAGAGAGGTAACATAGCTTGGAAGAGGTTGAGACTATACCAGAGAAGACTTAGGCCTGACTAGGAGCCATGATATTCCATACTGAGGAGAAAAGGGCCTGACCAAGGAGGGGTATGGGTGCAGGGTCCACAGTGAGACATTTCAGAGAGACAGTGGTCCCTGAGCATGTGAATGAGTAGAAATGTTTTTGTAAAGATGTCTGTTTTTCCTGGTTTACAAGGCTATAGCTACTGTACATGTACACAGGTATGACTGAAGAGCCCAAGGTGCAACCCACTGGATCCTTCCATGTGACTCTCATGGGACTTTTTCTTGGCTACTGCAGTGGATGTTTGAAGCATGTGTGCCTCTGTCTTGTACCCACCTGGCTAGCTCAGAGCCTTTGCTGGAGAGCGTGTGCTTCTGCCTGGCCGACGGCTTCACGACAGGCTTCTCTCTCTGCAGCTGTTGTTTCCCAGCCGTCCATATGGTGCTACAGGATGGGACGCAGGCAGGGACTTTCCTGTTCATAAAGGGGCAGGGCTTGGGACCTTGGGAGGGGCTTTTTCTGTTTATCAAGGCAAGGAAAGAAAACTTTCTTTTCAAAATTCACAGGCATCTGGTATTTATGATTTTATTAGGCTTGGATCTGCACCTGGAGGTGGGATGGGTTTAAACATCATTATTTAAAGTAGGGAAAGAAAAACAGCATCATCACCATAAAAGATCCTGGTTGTGTTTTTGAAATGTTTAGCTAAATATATTTTGGTGATCAGCAAAAGGCCAACCTTTGTACTTCCAAAAAGTTGTTCTCAGAAAGGCCTGACTTAATCATTGGTTTCCATTTTGTTCACAGATAGCCACTTGACACCTGCTTCAAATCACCAGTCACGTTTTCTTGTTGGAAAGATACTCATCGGAGAATCACCGTGGGCAAAAATGGAAGCAAATCAAGATATTAAGAACACCCCACTGGCCGGCAGTCCCCCAAGCTTCAGCAGAGGGCATTCCAGACAGTGCCTTTTAGCCAGAAACCAGAAGATCCAGCCCGCCCTCCGTGTCTCGGCTGCTCCTTAAGTCACTGCAACCCCTCCAAATTAATGTGAATTGAAACACGATTGTCTTTCAACTTAATTGCATACTTACTATGTGTGAATCACTGCAAAAACAGGAGAGAAAATAAGGGAGACAAGTAAGATGTGGAGCCTCCTTCAATGAGTTTGCAATTAGTTATAGGGCACATTTTTCTTCTCCTAATTAGGTATGTGCCTAAGACAAGAAATAAATGAATGGAAAAGTGTGTTCTGTAAGTGTTTTAAGGCACTTTAACCAAAAACCAAACAAAAAACTAATGTGGGCAACTCAGGATATTTTAACTTCTTTTTTTGTTGTTATTGAACTTCAGTAGACAGGATCCATTTTATTGATTCTATAAATATTTAGTAGACTTTAGAGATATTCATACATTACGGTTTGAGTTAATTTGAATTAAATACTATTTTTTTTCCTTAGGTAGAGGCTGTCTGTTGTCAGTACATTTCTTGGGGAGTGAAAGGGGACTCACACCTGGAGGTACAGACTGTTGGTTGACGGCACTCACAGACCTGAGCTAGGATGGGGAAGGAGCAAAGCCTCTGGGCACTGGCTCTGTGTGAAAATGGCCCAGTAATTATCCTGGGATTCATCGTATTGTCTTTTGTGTTCCATAAGTTGAATGACTATGCCGTTTTTCCAAAAATTTATGTCTGACCTGAGAATAAGTATGTCATGGTTTTCCCAGTGTTAAGACACTGATGTGACTGTAGACATGACATTTGATATAGTGTCTGTGACACATTTTCGTATGTATGAGCCCACAATAGATATGTCTTTGTCTTGAGTAGTGTCCATCTGAATTGAAAATGTGCCAACTGTTTTTTAACATCATCAACAGACTTCTTAATTAAGCTGCCAGTACATACTGCCAATAGCAGTGTGTGCCCGTTGAGAAATGAATTGTATAAGTGCTGTGTCCTTAAGAAATAAACAGTGTTGCTCCTTATAGACTGGATTTAAAGTGTTGTTTGAATGGGGTGTTATATTGCTCCCTGAATAATTTGATGAGAATTCTCATACTATTCCTTTTTAACTTCTAAAAACTATTATTTGTTTCTCAGTAAGGAATAGCTCTAATGTGACTGGTAACTTTAGTAAGTTTCATCCTTAAAAGGCAGAATACCCCAACTCCCTGTCATGATATTGGGCATTTGTTATGTCACTTCCAGTTCGCATGAAGTAGTGTCCAGGAAATCTTAGTTATGCATTTGTGCTATTCTAAACTGTAGATATTTATATCCTACTGTAGAAGATTTCTTGGAGGGCCCGTCTTTCTGTTCCTGGTGCCTGGAACAGGCTTGCTAACAGAGTAGCACCTTTATCAGTTTATAGTTTACCATTATTAATCTACTTTGAACGAGTCCAAATAAACTAGACATTTTGATATAGTCTAGTCCACTGGGCCTCTTAATTGATGTCTTGGATTCACCAGTTCAGCCCCATGAATCCTCTCTGCATGGTTGGGGTCTTCCCAGGGACTGCTCCGCTTCTGCTCTGTCTTGTCGATCGAGAGAGTAACAGTTGCTCTGTTCACTGGATGCTCACAGTGTGCCAGATGCTGAGCTACTTTATATGTATTCTCTCACTTATTATCTCATCTAAACCTCACAACAACCATTTGAAGTAGACGCTGTCCACTGGGTAGCTATGTATCTTGCTTAAGGCACGGGGATTCAATTCCAGATCTCTTAAACTCCAAAGTCTGAGCTATTAACCCCTACCCTCTGCTGCCTCCCAGGAGTAATTCCTAGTGCCTGGTGTGTGGGGTGGGGTGGTTTTGGGGGGGCGGGCAGATCAAATCTGGATGTATTCCAGATTTACTGCGTTTAATATTCCTGAACAGCAAATTGTCTAACAAATAAATCCCAGCAAACCAGTTGTTTTGAGAATGGGGGAAGGGCTGAGTAACTAGGAGAAAGCAAAGTTGGAAACAAACCAATTTGAGTCAAACCTTTAGCCTTTACCTCATACTGCTTTTTTTTTTCACTTTCTTTTTTTAACATGGCCTGACACCATGTGATAAATCAAAGCCTGACGTAATTGACCCAGAATTGATCCCCAAATGTCTTTTGGGGGAACATGCTTTAACTCTGGTTGTTGATTCTGAGGGATAATTGCCACCCTAGAAAGGTAATTACATATGCCATTGTTTATACACATAATAGGCTCAGAACGCATGTTCTGCACAGAGGGAGAGAGAATGCTGCTTGCATATTGGGGTATGTGCTGTGTGCTGTGTTGGAATGCCACAAACAGCACTTCAGCTGCTCTCTCACACTGCTGGTTTCCCAAGCATGTGTGAGTGTGTAAGGGAGAGACTGGGCCTGGGGAAGGGCTGGGTCATGGGAGGCTGTGTGTTGAGCTGAGTGGCAGTGATTCGCTTCTCCTTAATTTTTTTCTTTCTTCAGACATCTTCTGGATCTGATTCATGCAGCTTGGTCCGGTAAAAGACTGTTTTCTCTATGCTTGGCATATGCTTATTAATGAGTTCTCATATTTCTTTCCATCAGGGGCTGGTTACTTTGTGGAAATACGCAGTGAGAATCCTTCTCCGCAACATCCTCCTAAATGCCCTGGTTTTGACCACCCCCTAAGTACACCAAGCTGTCAGTTAAGGTGGTAGCTAGCACCTTTCCTCTCACTGTACTTTCTGGTCAAACATAAATGGAATTTAAGCCACAAATGACCAATTAAAGCACTTCGTGCCTTTTTCTTTTCGCCATAAGACAGTAGTTATCCTAAGGAAATACAGCAAAAAGGCTCTACTGTGGTAGTCTAACACTTGCAACCCTTGTTTTTAACCGACGCTTCTTAAAAAACAAAATGTCATGACTTTTTGTAGCACTGCACAATGAAAGCAATATGTATGTATTCCAATATGGAATTGGGCATTGTTTGAGGCCAGAGCGATTCATCGTGGGCTATTCTCTGCCATGGTGTCCAGCAAATTGCATGACCTGCTTGTTAGGCTTGACAACAGTGTTTTACCTAACAAAGGCCTCTGCAGCGCCAAGCAGCAGTGGAATGTCAGAATGAGCACATTTCACACACAGATGTGCAGCTATAATAGCCTATAAGAAGATGCATGTGGCAGGGGGCAGGGTGGGGGCGGGGTGCCCGCAGTGGTGTGGTGTGGGAGTGTGTTGGGTCGGGGCCGGTGGGAGGGGGAGGCCAACACTTAGCAGTAGGGACGTGGCCTCACTGACCACATTTAATCAGCCCTCTGTAAACAATTCAACATTTTCATTGTTCTCTAAAAACTAATAAAGAGAAACAAGCACTTTTCATTCATCTTGAAGTAATTTTCTGTCAGGTTGGAGCCCCTCGTGGCCTCCAGCTTGTGCAATGCTAGCTGTGTGATACAACAACTATTGCAATTTATTTTACAAACTCTGGTCATTCACATGTCAGTTAGTGTTCACCAAGCCGGCATCTGAAATTGTGCAGTTAACGAGTTTTACAACATTTCTATCAAGAGAAACTGTTTAGCATAACTGACTCTTAAGGAGTTATTATACCTCTAAAAATCCATTTTAAGGGGCATTATTTAAATAAAATAGAAAAACGGTTCACTGCCTTTTAAAGGGGCTACAAAAAAAGTCCATCAGCTCCAGCGCAGTAATCCTCAGCTTAAAGCACTCTTGAGAGTACTTCTGGGAATTGTCAGCATAATGAAATGTTTTGTGAAATGTCCAGATAGATTCCTCTACTCAACAATTTTACTGCACCATATTTATTTTCCTTCCAGTTTTTAAAGAAGTGAATTACTTTTTGAGAGGATGACTCTGTGTTGCATAGATTAACTGAGCACATTATTACCAAGATCGTAGCAGGAGGGTGCTGTGGCGATGTCATCTATATGCATCTGCAGAGAGGGGGAAAGAGAATGGGAGCCTTTTTTCCCTGTTGGTGCTTTGGCTCCAAAAGGGTTAAATTACAATGAGGCTCATGAAGTTTTATATTTTCCTTGTGCCACATTTTTTTTCCTCAGGCGTTTAAACAATTTTGGAACACCATGGCACCTGTAAATATTTTCTTTAAACTTCACAAAATAGACTCTGTTTTCTTACTCGAAATAAATAAATGTAAGAAAACTGGCCAGGTATAATGGTGCATATCGTTTGAATCTGGCTCATTTCAGTCGGAGAGGCTATTGAACATTTTACTGAAAGAAGAGATTCCCTGTATTAACTGAGTTGGCCTGTGACCCCCAAGCCAATTAATGGCCAGAGTCCATAAAAGCAGTACTATATAGCACAGCAGTAAGTTCATTTAGCATATTCTACGTTCTAACAGTAGTAGAAGCCACCACTTGTAATGTAAAGAGTTTAATGCTCTTTTTTCCATGATGAGGAAGACCAAGAGAAAAATTATATTCTGCCATAACAAGAATGTTCCATATTCTTAGGAGGTGTATCTATGACACTACACATTTCCATTTTGCCACAAACAGTCCTCTAATTTCATAGACTGATGTTTGTGCACACGACTTTAATTTTCTGAGGGAGATGGGCAGGTGTTCTTGTGCCTGTTAGCTGTATCTGCCAGTAAGAAACATAGTAACATCCATGAACCAAATACAATTGGAAATAATTCATGCCTTTATTACCTCCTACAGAACGATATTATTTCATGCTGGCACATTAATGTTTCCAGCACGACACTGACATTCCTGGAAATTTTACCTTGTGAAGTTCAAATATTGAGGAATAAGTTTAAAAAAAAGTCTAAGTGTCCTAGATTTGGGGACAACTTTTTCCAATAGTAGCTTTTTTCTTCTTCTTTTTTATACTTGGTGTCACTGCAGATCAATGTTCATATAATGGGCAAAGATCAAGTCTGAAAACCCTCACTTCTTCATGACCAAGCAGCTTGTTCCCATCCTATTTCCAGTTTTGCAAATAATATTCAGTCAACTTATCATGTCATACTTTGCTGCTCTTTTCCTCCAATGATGTGAAATCAGGAGATATTGATCAAGAAAATGCTTCAGTGATTACAACTTGAATCCATTTGACATGGCATTTGTGTCTTTCCTAATACTTCAGCACTTAGAATTAGTTAGGGCAGAGGAGATGTATTAGTTTCTTATTGCTGCCATAGCAAATCACTACAAATTTAGTGGCCTGAAACAACACAAATCTATTATCTTACAGTTGTATAGGTCTGAGGTCTCACTGGGCTAAATCACTTGTCAAAAGAGCTGCCTTCCTTCTGGAGGCTCTAGAGGAGAATCCCATTTTTCTGCCTTTCCTAGCTTCTAAAGGCCACCTGCCTTCCTTGGTTTATGGCTCCATCCTCCATCTCCAAAACATGCAATGGTGGGTTGTATCCTTCTCACATGGCATCTGTCTGACTCTCTTTTGTCAACACATCTGTCTCTCTGTGAGTCCAGAAAGAAAATGTTTTCCACTTTTTTTTTTAATGTTCTGCAATTTTAAGGCCTGGTCTACCTGGAAAAATCCAGGATAATCTCCCCATCTTGAGGTTCCTGCCCTAAATCACATATGCTAATTCTCTTTTGCCATGAAAAATATCCTATTCACAGGTTCTGTGATTAGGACATGGGCTTTAGTCTGCTTTCCCCATAGAGTCTCTGAGAGTTTTCTCTTCCATACCAAAATTTGGAGGATGTAATTATAGTCACCACTCTGCCAGTCTGCAAATTTTTTAAATTATGCAGGAAAATAGCTTAAAAATTGGAGTTTGTACTCTAATATATGAACATTTTCTTCTTAATTATGCCACTAGTATCTCCATATTTTTATTGTTAGTAAAGCCTCATTGCGTTTTATTTAGTATATAAATGAAGAAAAACAGAAATAGTGATTTCTTTTTGTACCCGATGCATTATCCTGTGTGTCCCTATTTGCACCTCATTTTGGATTAACTTGTGAAAATGTGGCTGCTTTTTGTTTTTTGGAACATACAAGGCTTCAAGTGAGGAAGGGACTGCAGAAA